AAATTATATATATAAATAAATAATATATATATATATATATATTAGTATCAAATTAGTGAAATGATAAATTTAATAATTTTTTATAGAATGCAAATTTAACATATTCAATTATTGTATTTGATGATATTACACTCACGATTATATATATCAAATTTTAAATGAATTGGATTTTTTTGAAATATTTTATCTAACAATGGACATTTACATGTATTTTAATTATCATTTTATATGTTAAAATAAAGTGATATGAAGAACTACAAAATAACTTTAGAATTTTATACAATTTTATATATTTTATCTAATCAGTAATATCATCAAATATAATGGTTGGATCAATTAAATTTTTATTTTGTAAAAATTATTGAAGGTGTCATTTCACTAATTTGATATTATAATGTTAACGAATTCTAACCCTTTTAAATATAATAATTATATTTTATATTTATGATAAATAATTTATATTGTAGCCCAATTTTTTTTATTGATAACTTATTTTTAAAATATTAAACTTTGATTTATACATAATTATTATAAATAAAAAAATCAAATTATATATAAAGTAAAAAAAAATCCTTAAAACCCCTTTCATCGATGAAAATTCCCTAACCCAATATAATCACTTGCGTTTTATATATGTGGATAAGATATGTGGTCCTTACACAATCATATAGTTTCCATTTTTGTTTAGTTAGTCATTAAAGTTGTATATATATTCGATGCCTTGTATGGGTTGACTAGACAAAACTAGTAAACAAAATTGTGAGGGTTTACATGATTGTTCAGTTATCATCTAATATAATTCTTATACTCTTATTTCAATTTACAATTCATCTTCTTTGTTCACCTTTTATGATTCATTCTTTTTTGTTTTTGTATCGTCTGATTTACTCAATCTTGCACAATAAATTTGTATTGTGAGCTTGGTTGAGATCACAATTCTACATCTATTGGTGGATATTTGAAGTTAGATCAGTCATTTTGTTTTTTATTTTGTTCATGGTGGATCTTCAAGACAGTATTCAAGAAGATGACCAACACAATCAAGATGAGAAGTTTATAGGGAAAAACAATTTCAACCTTTGGTACATCAAGATGAGAGTTTTATTGAAGGCACAAGGTGTTTGGACACCTTTCTATAGGACGACATCCATATCACACCTAAAAAAATATATTCTTGAACAGAAAGATAAAAAGCCATATTCATTGATTCTTCCTCAATCCAATCGAATCCTAAACTAAACATGGCTAATCAAGAAGGAAATAAAGGAAATCATGCCAACCAATGAAATCAAAGAAGAACCTTAGGGGATTATGCTCAACAACAAAGTCCCTGACAATTTTCTAGCATAATAGCTCCAACAACCTCATGGACTGTGGAAATGAAACTCGCCTTCCTCAACTTAGTTAGTACACATTAGTTTGTAGGGATGAACCATGAGGATCCATATGGACATATATCAAACTTCCATGTTCTGTGTGGTTCCATGGGGATTCTTGAAGGCAATGAGGAAGCAATTTATCTCTGTTTATTTCCATTTTCTTTTACAGATAAGGTGAATACATGGTAGCAATCTTATCCAAATCAAAGCCTCACTAGTTGGAGTGATGTGGAGAAAAAAATTGTGAACAAGTTCTTCCTATATTCTAGGAACATTAATGCCATATCAAAGATAGCTACCTACCATCAAGGGTTTGATGAGCCCTTTTTTGAAGCATGAGAGTGTTTCAAGTCTCTTCTAAGAAGGTGCTCCAATCATGGCTTTGAAGACATTGTTCGGTTGAATATATTCTATTACAGAATCAAGCCAGATATAAAGATGCTCTTGAATGCATCAGTAGGTGTGGTATCATGATATCTCCTAAGGTTGAAGAAACCACAAAAATCATTGAATCTCTTACCTCTTTTAACCATCAAACACAACATTGTGGACACAATGTTTTAAGGAGAGGTGTTAATAATTTGAATACCAATGATGTAATCTTGGCTCAAAACAAGCTCCGACCCAATAAATTAAAACCCTAACAAAATAACAAGGCAAAACTTCCTCTACAACTTCACTCAGTTAAAAAAACTTCAACACTTTCATTATGTTTTACTATTTCATTCGTGTTTTATCATCAATTTAAATATAGTCTAAAGGTATGATTCATAATTAGATTTACTTACATTTTTAAGTCTTTTAAATTTAGAGTATATCTTTTTAATCTTTCAAATTTAAAATTATATTTTTAATCTTTAAGATATAAAAATTTATCATTTTAATTTTTTAAATATAAAATTTATTTTTTAATCTCTATAATTTAAATAATATTATATTAGTCATTCATGTATCATTAGTACAAATTAAGATGGACCAAAATAATATATATATATATATATATATATATATTATATATAATAGGGGTATTTAGCAAGCACTCCTTTGTGAAAGAAACGAGCTCCAATGAGTTTGTTGTTACATTTGATGCTATCTTCACATTGCCCTTTCCATCGTGAAGGGATTTTAGTCATCCCCTCATCTTTGAAGCTTTCACTTTCTGGCCAAATTCCCGTATCCACCAACCCAACAATGATATCTTCGCCAAATTTCCCAACAGGCCATGCCCCCGTGTTGGGATTAAGGTCGAGAAATTGTGGTGAATGAGTTGTGTCAAGCTTAGCTGGAAGATCTGGTATGGAAGAAATGTAACCTGTGGAGCTTTTGAGAGCTTCAAGCTCTTTGGGTGACAAATTTGCACTAAAACCGCTCATGGCGTTTGTATAGGTATAAATCAACTTAGAAGAAGCGATTTCGAGATTATTATTGTCATTGGAGGTAAGAACTTGGGCATTTTCTAATGCAGAGGAAAGTGTAGAGAGATACCAACCGTGTTGGGTGGAGAATACTTTAGGCATGGCTAACGTGTCCATGTGGATGATATAATTATCAGATTGAGCTAACGAATATACAAGGTGAAAGACTATTATGTGGGAGAAACAAAAACAAAGATGAATCACAATAGCCATGATTGAAGGATATTGTGAATGTAGATGGATGCCTTGTTGGCTGAGACTCCAATATGTAATTCGGGTTTAGATACTGAATTATCCCAAATTTTTATTTATGAAGTACATTTATTTCAAATATTTTTCTTCCATGAGAAAAAGATAAAGAAATTATATAATATCATTTTTTACTTTTAAATAACTTAAAAAGGATCCAGCCATCTTAAATAATGTTTGAAGTTCGAATTTTGTTAATCGACAAAATAAATTTTACTAATTAAGACAGTTAGTTAGGATTTTAGCTAAAGTTTTCCAATTTTCATTGACAAAGTTAGTTAGTACTTTATACCAATAAATAGTTATCAAAATAAACTATATATATATATATA